CTCATTTTTAAGTGTCTTACAATGTTTGGAACATGTTTTAAATGGTTGGAATAGTTAGTCCACCTTGTGAAACCTATGCACACTTAGCTTGGCTTTCTTCTGAGTCTTCGTTAATTTTTAGTGATTTTTTGTTTTTTCCCTCATTGAAATCCATTGGTTTGTTCATACAACAAGATCAAATTTTGATTTCAGTTCCTCATTTCTTCTAGCAAACGCCATTTCAGACAACCCATCATTTCCAAAGTTCAGAAATAATGTGGAATGGTGGACAATGAGAAGTGGAAGCAGAAATTTCTTTACTGTTTTCCTCCTTGAGACTATGTGAGAGGATGGGAAGGAAGGCAGTGTAAACAAGTCAACATTTTGCACGAACGGCAGGTTTCCACTGCTTATTTATTTATTTATTTATTTATTTATTTGATTTTTATCCCGCCTATCTGGACCAGTGGTCCAGATAGGTGGGATAAAATAAGCCCCTTATATAAACTGAAAGAAGCCCCTTATATAAACTCAAGACTACTTTATATTTTATGTTCTTAAAATATAGATATGAGTGGTTTTCATGGAGTGCCTTAAGAGGTCTAGATGAGTCATGCTCCATCTCCTCTATTCAACAGCAGTACAGTGAGAGGTATCTGACCCTGGCATCGTTTCATTCTTCAGGGAAGAACACATGAATTTATTTTATTTTATTTTATTCATATACTGCTCAATAAGTGAGTTGACACTACTCTGAGCAGTGTACAAACAAGCAATGAAGGTCTTAGGCCAGGTTCTACAAGCACTTCTCTACTGCCCTCAAGTTCTGTATCAGGAACAGTCCAATTCCCTCGTTGGTGGTACAGCATCTACAAACTAGGGGCCATGGCATCTGTTTCTTAGGACAAGGATAAAATGTGCACCCAGGGAAGTCACAATATGTTTACAGTTTTTTTACTTCAACAGGTGCTTTTCATGCTATCACAAAATTAAAAAGATCTATTGTTTGTTTATCTTTCTTTATATCACTTCACCTTTTCATCTCTAGCAACAAATGTAATAATTGTAGCACAATTTTCCCTTTGTGCTAAAGCAGCATTAGAAGCATCACCATCTCACAAGTCCTTTCCTGCCATTCCAGGAAATGATGCTCAAGACCTTATCATCAGAGAGCAGACCATATGGAAATGCTGTTGCATGCATTCATTATGAAATAATAATTATATATGAAATACGTTAAACTGGCCATTAATACTCAGTCACTTGCTCTTGTCTTGTCTCCCTTTCTTTTTCCAGATCGATATACAGCAAATTTATAATACAGTATATGTTTTATTTTAATGGTGCTAAATTTCTACAAAGAATTTTAAAAACAGAATAGTACCAGCAATGCAGAGCTGTTAGACACTATGCATGTTCACTAGCAGATGAAGTAGGAGGATATGGAAGAAATTCTGAATTACAGCTTGAAAAGGTTAAAACTCCTAGAAAAATGTAAAGGTTCCCCTTGACATTTAGTCCAGTTGTGCCTCACTCTAGGGGGTAGTTCTCATCCCCATCTCCAAGCCGTAGAGCCAGTGTTTGTCCATAGACAGTTTACATGGTCACGTGGCCAGCGTGACTAGACATGGAACGCCATGGTGGCACCTATTTATCTACTCGCATTTACATGCTTTCAAACTGCTAGGTTGGCAGAAGAAAAATGTACATAGTCCTAAATGTGCCATTCTTTGTGCTCTTGGGTTTCTTGAATACAGTACTAAGCCTGAAAACCAGGAATAAACTGAAAACATATTAGCTGCAAGAAAGATTAAACTGGGATGAAGGTGAAAACACAAGTAGCAAATATCTTTAATGAATCAATCAAGTTACTTAAAATGAGTGTGAAAAGTAGAACCTCCACAACTGGTTAGTTACCAGAATGTAACAAGTCATCTGACGATTTTAAAAATAAAATAAAATCAGGCAACAACCCAAATGCTGAATTTTGTTCAATGAAAATTAACTGAACTACAGTATACAGAATTAAACAGATACTATAAATGAAGGTAATGTTTAATGTATACATTTGAATATTGTCTATGTATATTCTCCATGTATTTGTGGGGATAAGAAATACATTCAGTTGAACTTTTTTTTAATTGAAAAGTGCTGTATTAAAAGTGAGAGTTTTTATGATGTTGAAATGGTTTAATGGGACTGGATGCAAAACTTGGGTTACTGTGACTGGCATTCTGCTTTATGCTACATGTGTGTTTATATATACACCTGCATTTATTTCAATTACATTTCTAAAAATTTTAAAAATAACTATTGTGTTGCTAAACAGAAGCTTTCATTAGGCTGAAATAATTACATCTGGATTTGAAGCATTACATTTCTATCCCCTTGCGTCTTTGTTTTAATTGGCGTCTGGCTTCAATACATTTTCAGTGAAAACTTCAAAACAAAAAAATTGGGGGGGGGCATTTAAACCCAACAGAACTATCAACCTATTTACTGCAGGAAAATGAACAGATCAAGGTGAATAAGTTTTGCATATTTTTATAACTTTCAGAGGTCAGTTATTCCCCAAAATGGATATGAGGCTTAAATACGGGCCCTTTAAAAGCACAGTACCTAAGTGTATTTGCTCAGTTTTCAAATAAGAATGAAAGAGGAAAAATTAAACATGTACATCCAGCCTGAGCTTTTCCTTGTTGGATTACTCCCTTCTCACAGCACTACCAAGATTTCTATTCCCAATTACGCCAAGAATTTACCTTGACTGCTCCTAATTCTCTCAGTGGACTTGACTCTTCCACTGATCTATTAACTCCACAATTTCACAACCCAGATTCCCCACACACTAGGCGGTTACAGAGTCAGGAAACAGTTTGAAAACAGGAGATTTAATGAGGTCTGAGACCAAACAACAACAAAGCGCAGAATACCACAGAGATGTCAGAGAGAACTTCCAGAAGAAGCCTGAAGTTATTTTTCTCCTAGTTCAATCGAAAGCCTGTGGCTTTGTGCAGTTCTACACTGCGTCCTTTCCAAAGTTTGGCTCAGAATCGCAGCTTTGCAAAAGAGATTTTTTTTCTTTCAGAGGGACATCTGAATGTTAATCTTTTGTGTCCTTGTTAAGGGGTCCCTACTGATGCCCTGGGTGGGTTACCTGCCCTCACCCAGCCAGCCCGGGAGAGTCCAAGAGAGTCCTTCGTCCCCAGGCCCGTGGGTGAGAGGGACAGCAGCTGCTTGTGGAGAAGCCGACAGGAGAGGGGGACCTGCAGAGGGAGGAGGAGGTGGCAGTGACCAAGATAAAGGAGCAGGAGTACTTGGAGGCTTCCTCGAGAGGATTGGAGGGAGTCGTAACCACCTTGGAGGTTGTTAGTGTTCCCCCCCCCATACACACACCTGCATTTGATGCGGAAACTTCAAATGGTGCCAGGCTTCTTAGTGGGACGAGAAAACATCAGCATATCTCTCCCACTCTGGCTGCCTTGCATTGGCTGCCCATTCGTTTCCGCATTGACTTCAAAGTGTTAATGATGATGTACAAAGCCCGAAACGGTTTGGGATCTCGATACTTGGCAGATAGTCCCCCATACACACACCTGCATTTGATGCGGAAACTTCAAATGGTGCCAGGCTTCTTAGTGGGACGAGAAAACATCAGCATATCTCTCCCACTCTGGCTGCCTTGCATTGGCTGCCCATTCGTTTCCGCATTGACTTCAAAGTGTTAATGATGATGTACAAAGCCCGAAACGGTTTGGGATCTCAATACTTGGCAGATCGTCCCCTCCCACTTAGATCTACTCGAATCACTCGTTCCAGCTAGAATAGCTCCCACTTAGATCTACCCGAATCACTCATTCCAGCTAGAATGGCTGGCTGAGGAGCCTAACGCTGGGGGAGGCCCGTAAAGAAAGAACAAGAAACCAGGCCTTCTCGGCAGTGGCTCCTCGGCTATGGAACAACCTTCCAACAGAAATCTGTCTGGCAACCTCGCTGGGTGTTTTTAAAAGCCATTTAAAAACTTGGCTCTTTAGGCAGGCGTTACCTCCAATCAATAACTGATCTCTATTCTTTGTCTTTTAAATTATTTCATCTTGGTAATGATTTGTAATAAGTGTTAAAAATTACGATGTTGAAATTGATTTTTAAGATGTTTCTTATATTATGATGTTTTTCTCATGTGTGTAAGCCGCCCCGAATAGACTTTGGGGTGGGGTAAAAGTCAAATAAAGTAAAGTAAAGTAAAGAATAAACCTGAGATGTGCTGGAGGCTTCGGACCCCCACTTCTGCTCCCTGGGAAAGGTAGAAAGCGGGCGGGAGAATGAAGCCCAAGCACAGGTCCTTGAGCCCTGCCAGTTCGGTAGAGGAAAGGTCTGGAGTCAAAGGGACCCGATGTCAGGACCACCAGAGCCTTCAGTTCCACCTCTGTGACCTTTGCGCCCAAGCCATCCAAAAGAAGCAGTGGCACCTACTCTAGCTCAGCTGTGGCACTGGTGTTGAAAGCATCAGTGCGAGAAACAGAGGAGGATTCAGGAGGAATAGAGGAGTGGATCCAGTATCCACCACCCTCCTCTACTGGCTGTCATTAAAAGGACTTTCATAGCAATCAAGAACAGTTGCCCAAGACAGCCATCTCCCCTTTGCCTCTTAAATAAGGCCAGCCTACTCTCAGTTTCTTGCCACCACTTAAAGAAGTACCAGTCAAATAGAAGAGAACAGTCTTGAATTGGATTTAAAAGCTGTTATGTTCCTTTTTTTTTAAAGAGGAAACAAGGCAAACATAGAAATTCAGCTACCAATTAGCCAGAATTAGATATGGGGGTATTCGTATACGAATACAAATATCCCCACACAGGTGGTGTTAACAACGGTCCAGCCCAATGGGGCCGGACAGTCCACTCACCGATGTGCAGCGGACGGCGCGATTCTACCCAATGGTTCTGCAGCACGCAATCCGCTCGCCACTCTTCGACCTCGCAGCGAGGCTTCTCGTCCCACCTCCTGCCAGAAGTGGCGAGTCGATATCGCGCTGCGGAGCCATTGGTAGAATCACGTTGTCCGCATCCACAGAGGATCGGTGAGTGGACTGTCCGGCCCCACGGGGGCTGGACCCTCGTTAATGCCACCTGTGTGTGGATATTCATATTCGAATTAGGGTTACAAATACCCCCATCTCTAGCCAGAATCCTACAGGTGTTGCTTAATACCTGGGTAACTTGCTGCAGCTACTCGCAGCTAATTGGCAAGGTGCCAGGGGGAATCTCAATCAAATGCTTGGTCATGCGCCTGATTGCGCAACTAGGATGTGCTCCGGCACCGCATCAATTTAGCCACAGCAACTTAAGAAAACTTCCACGAACACCAACAGGATTCTGATTATTATTTGTCAAGTATGCATAATATCAATTTAGACAATTCAGTTGGATCCATCTTGATAACTTCTCCATACACAGGTGTTACAACATAAATAGCAGAAATATTTTATCCCTCAAGATATGAGCAGTTTACTCCTCACTATGGTAGGTTTGTTGTTTAAAATTGCAATAATAAATATGCCTTCAAGTCAGTTCCAATTAATGGCTATCCTCTCAGAGTTCTAATATAAAGCACTCAGGAGTCATTTACCATTCCTTCCTTCTGGAGACACTCTGGGATCAGGCAGCTTGCCCGAGGTTGCACAAGTACCAGGGCTCATAAAACTGCTGGTTATCTCCAGGAAGGCAGAATGGGGATTCTCAACCCTGACCCATGAGGTTTGCATTCCAACCCACCGTTCTACCACCTTCGCTATGGCTACACCCTTCCATAGAAGAAGCAGTAGTGAATTTTTTGCCAAGCAGTTCCATGCATATAAAAACCGGACAAACCTATTTTATAAACTGTAAAACCGGGGAAGGATGATGCTAACCCCATCTCTGTTCCTTATCAGAACACAATCAAGTTTTAATCTGCAGGGAAATCCTTGTGTGTTTTAATGGGCATTTCAAACACACACACCCGTTTTTGTATTAATTGTTTAAAACATACAGCACTGAGTACATTTGAAAAGTATCATATTTCCTCAACAAAGTTCACCAGAAAGCCTTTTTATAGGCACATGTTTTTAAAATGCACATCTCTGCATTCTGAAGTGTATGTATTTGTGTGCGCATTTCTTTTGAAATAAATTACAAAGGAAGATTCTGGAGGCAAATCTCACTCCAGTTTGTTTACATAAATGTGGAAAGTTCAGATTGAAGTGCCAACAAGATGAATTCTTCACACATCTGACTTGCCAAATACAGTGACCTAAAAGGAGAAAGTTACATCTGGTTTTAAGGATCCTGGCAGATCCCATGCTGTCCATCTCACAGAAGACATGAATGGTGGCATTCACTTACAAGGTCATAGATGTCTACAGTTAAGCTACTTTATCATGGTGTGTGCACTCAACTGGCATTTTTAAGCATTCTTCAAATACAGTCGGTACTTAAAGCTAGCTGATACCGCTATTCATACATATTGATTTGCCAGCTGTACATTCTCATACATCAAAATGCTCCATAGCTGAAACACAAAGCTCATATGCTTGAAAACTCGGTCTTAAGTTGGAAAATCTGTAGGTTGGATATGACCCTCTTACACAAGCAAGCCCAAATCTCCCTTCTACATAGGCTCTCTAGTGCTCTTGACTGACAAAAAAAACTGGTAGGAATTGAATCTTTTGGTGGTTTAGGCCAATAGAAAATCTGAACTAGGCCCTTGGCTCTTTTAGAAGAATGTTTTCATCGTTTAGAGCCATGATCTTAATTACTTGATCTTTAAGTCGCACTGGCCATGTGACCACGGAAGATTGTCTTCGGACAAAACGCTGGCTCTATGGCTGGGAAACGGGGATGAGCACCGCCCCCTAGAGTCGAACACGACTGGACAAAAACTGTCAAGGGGAACCTTTACCTTTAGGTCTTCACCATAGGCCATCTAGATTTTACCTGAAAAAAGAACTATGAAGCAACAATAACTGCAGCTGAATTTGTCTCAGCACTGTCAAAGAGTAGACACAAGATGCTTTAACCCTCATGGACCAGCAGAAAAGAAAGATTTGCACTAAGTGAGTTGTGGGATATTTTTGACCCTAACTAGAATCCTGTATGTTAAGGGTTAGCAACATCGTGATTGTTACATTTCTCGTACTTCCTGACTTCCTTGCGAATATGAAAACCTGCTCTGAATGGGGCTAATCTAGCGATAACCAGCTTATTTTGCCCATGCTTCCTGGTATCATTGTTTGCTGAAAAACAGAATGACTTTTTAAAATCCCAATTAGACCATGATGGCTGAAGGCCTACTGCACCATGCCATGGGTGCAATGACTTCAGCAGCAGCAATTAACTGGCCATGACTTCAGCAGCAGCAATTCACGGCTGGCTAAAAGCCTCCTTTGGTGATGTCAGTTGCACATGACTTCATCGCCTTGTGTATGAACTGTGTGCGCCCCAAAGCGGCTTTTCATTAGATGCAATTTGCTTTATATCAATAGCATCTTGCTGCTGTTGCTGCTTCTAACATTCTTCTCAGTGGCACATGCAAAATGGAGCAACAGGTTTTTAGCCATCAAATGGGAGTAAACAAACAAACAAACAGAAAAATCTCAACAAGAAAAAGAAAGCAATAGATTTTAGGGAGTTTTTGTGTCTCTGCTGTTTTCCATTTGCTAAAAAATAAATCAACCCTGGGTGGCAAGCCACTGAAACTTTGTTTACAACTCTTGAGATGACAGTGTCACAAAATGCCTGTACTGTAGATCATGTTCAGCATGGTTTCTGCAACCCAACATGATCTCCTGTCCTGCTGAAGGAGGAAGTACTGCAATGACAGCTCCATTTCAATACATTTTTTCAGCTGGCATTTGGGATTATGCTAAGATTTGTGACCATTGCTGTCTTTCTATCTTTGCATTTTACCTCCCAGCTCATGGCTGCTAAAATAAAGACGATGATCATAAACGATGGAAAGAGAAAAGTTTGGAAGTACTGGAAATGTTTCCCTAATATGCTGGCTAATTCTTATATTTTCAGCAGAGGCTGTACTCACCCAAAAATAATGGTGTTGTCTCATCGTTAGTGAGCTCATTAGGATCAGCACCAGATTTCAGGAGGACTGCAACACATTCCACGCTTCCACGGCTGGCAGACAGATGTAAAGGACAACTGCCCTCAAATGTCTTTGTTCTTATGTAGCTCTCAGAGGGTGCTGAACAGGAACATGGGAAAGATTAGCTTTGCAAAAGTTCTTTTAAAGATGGCATGATCTGTTCTGTAGAGAGTACAGGCTCAAAACAGATAAGTGTCATGAGTGCAGCTGAAGATCTGGAACCTGAAGGGTTAACTGTAGCTGAGGAGAATGCTGAGCGATTAGAAATACAAACACCTGAATCACCTCCAGATTCTCCTCCCCCAGTAGACAGGCTGAGGGCCAGGCTGAGGGGAAGACTTATGACAAAAAGGTCAGAGGATCGCTTGAAGGCTGCCCGCAGAAACATCCAATCAACTAGCCCTGAATTCTGACAGGATGAAAAGCCTTCCAGTAGTTCAAGGGGCTGTTTTACTATATAAACAGTTCTCAGATGGCTGAAAGTCCGTGGAAGCAACAAGTCAAACCTCTGGCTTGCATCCACACTCCTGACAATCTTGCACCTTGTTCTCTGGACCCTTGGCTTTGGACTCTGACCCTGGACTACGTTGTTTGAGTTGGCTTTGGAATTTTGATATCGGCTCTGCATTCCCTGAATTCCTGACATAGGACTGACTTATCGGACTCTGCTATTGTAACCCCCGGGGACATGACAATAATACAGTGAGGTCACCATCAGACATTCAGCAGATACCTGTCATAGAGGCCTGTGTAGCCTAGCACACGGTGGTTAAGCTTCTCAAGCTGCAAAAAATATGGTTTTGTTTTATGGGTGGTCAATTAAAGATGGGTTTCATTTGTACATCTGAAGGCGGGAACTGTGTGCCAGTGGAGGGAAGAATGCTGTAACAACAGGCAATACGTTTCCCCCTCTAATGTGTGATTTGACACTCCGTTCATACGCTTGCGCAAGCTAACACGACCACCTTTTCCATAACTTCAGTTTTAGCAGTTTGGTTGTCCTGCCCTACAGGGATTTTGACCAGGTTTAGCATGGGATGAAGGATTCAAGTATCTGATAATTTCACTATCTCAAGATGACTGAATATTGAGAAGCTGAGGAAATTTACATGAAAAACCGTTGTACTGGAAATAGAACAGGTTACCCCATAAAACAAAACCATGTTTCTGTCAACCAACCAAATGTGGAGCTTGTAGAGCAGCTGGGGAACTAAATTGCAAAAACAATGGAATGGGGAATTCACAACCACCACCCCCAGATATTCTTGAACTAAAACCCCCATCAGCCCCAGCTAGCACAACCACCAGGAGCTAAGTGATGGGAGCCATAGTTCAACAGTTACCATTTCTGTTTACCAGAAGATCTATCAATGTATGGGGTCTTTTGTTTGAAAAAATACTTCTTTTCTTTTCTTTTTATATTCTATAAATGTTAAATTGTTCTCTCCTTAGTAACCAACAAAGGCTAGCAAATTGTATTTGGCAACAGCTTTCATGGACTGTAGCCCACTATTCAGATGCGTTTTCCTCAGTGCCACCTTCGGTAATGTTAGAGACCCATATACAAAAAAAAAGAAGTAAGAACACAGTGCAATGTTGATTTTTTTTTTCTGGGACTATACTATGCTTCAAGGAAGCAAACATTTGGGATTATAAATCCCATAACATCCCAGCCAGAGCATCTAATGGTTAAGGGGCAGGAGATTTAAAGTCCTAAAAAGTTATTTTATTTTTTATTTCATTTATTTCATTTCTATCCCGCCTATCTGGTCATATTCGACCACTCTAGGCGGCTAGAGATCTGGAGATCGGCAGGCTGCCCACAATCGCTCTGTGTGACACTCGCCACAGAGTCATTACGATAAGAAACATTTCACGAAGAAAAGGAAAATGATTGTGTGACTCTGGCTCTTAGGAGCTTGACTTAAAATAAGCCTGTCATGCATTTTACTAACATTTTAACTACAAGGCTAAAGTTTAGCCTCAGAGCTCAGGCAGTTACCTTTTAAAGGCAATTAGTTATAAAGTTCCATGGCGAGAAAACGTAGTTATAATTTGTTTAAAAATTATTTCAGTTTTTGAAAAAAGAACTAAACTTGTTACATTTTGTATTTTTTTTTCAAATATCTGTTGTTGTTGTTTCATTCACCACTGCAGGGCACAGAATGTCATGCTTCAGCCATAGGATATTCCACTTCCAATATTCATTGAGCTCTCAATTCCAGTAATTACAAAAATAAGTTAAAAAATTAACAGTTACAATGCTAAAGGAATGAAGTCATCCCCGATTAATTTACAATCATAATGTAATCCAATTATATCTTAGCTATACTGTACTGTACTTAATTTTAACTACTCAGTTCCACATTTACTTCGGTTTACAAGTAACCTGAAACTATGATTTAATAGGATTTTAACTCCTTCTCTGCCTCCTCCTCCTTCACACATTCTAAGCCATCTCTCCATAGTTCCTGATTTTGAGAAAGCCATGTCAGAGATAGGACTTCAACCAGGGACTTCCTTATTAGTGTCATAGTCTCTTAGTTCTCATACTGGCAGTCTGCATCCTGGAAGGCTAAAGGACCTCTGCCAGTTTTTCCCTTCAGGAGCAGGGGATGCTATCTCCCCCATCCCACAGCAGACTCCCATATCCGTGGGGTACTGGCTCCAAGTCCCCATGCAGATCCTGAAAAACACTGAGCATGTTAATAGCATACACTATACATAGCATGGTCTCTGTCTCCCTCTAGTGGCCCGTTCTGGTAATTTAATCATTAAAACATATTTAGGGGAGATTTTTCTTTTAATATTCTTAATATTTTCAGCAGATACTAAATGGATCAGCAGATACTGATCCCACAGATAACAGGATCCTACTGCACTCCATGCATCCAATGAAATAGACATCCATCCTCAAAAGTTTATGCCAGAACACATTTGCTAGTTTTCGGAGTGGCACAAGTGCCTTTGTCTTTGTCTATCCTGATTTTCCAAATTACAGTATTCTAAAAACCTGTACAGGTGAAGAGAGCGGACACCCCAGAAAGATAAATTCATCTGCCTTATTGTCCGAGGCACTTATCGTCAGAGCTAGAAGTGAAACAGGAGCTGTAATTCAAACAAGCAACTTTTCCAAGCTCTGCTATTTCTATACAGGGCCCAATTTTTCCCTACCTGCACAAATTAAGACCTTCAGACATTCACTTGTATTGTGAAATGCTGCTTCATGGATTGCCATCCAACCCCGGTTATCAGGGACATCGACGCTGTAGCCTTCTCTGATGAGCTTCTTCAAATCTTTGACGTTGCCTTCTCTAGCAGCGCGCCCAACCGAAGAACATCTGTCGGAATAGGCTTCTGTAAAATCCATGCTAAGAGAACGAGCAAAAGAAAGAAAGAAAGGGAGGGAGGGAGAAAAGGGAAGAAAATAACCCTTAAAAGTCATTGCAGAGCAAACAACACACATTATCTCAACAACTGAATTATAAATCCATGAAGTCCAATTTATCTGATGGGAAGCCTCTATTATAAAATAATTCAAAAGAAGCATTCACAGATATGTGTAATGAAGAAATTGCTTTGTATCTCATTGACATCTGAAGTTTTTACTTCAAAACTGCTTTGATGTTTAAAAAACTGTCAATGACTGGCCATGCCCTAGCCTAGATGAAAAAGATGCAAAATTCTACAAATTATCCTCACCCGGTCCAAGGCTCAAAAGTCTCACAAATTGAAACGTTTGAAGGCTTAACAGCCTGGTACAGCAATATCTACTCAAAAGCAAGTGTAGAGTAATTTCAGTGGGATCAACTTCCTGATAATAAGGCTGCAATTCCGTTATCACTTGCATAAGGAAGAGCCTCATTAAACACAATGGACAAATATCCATGCATAGGCTTATACCTTTCAGATAGTATGCAGCAATACTGTATTCCTAAATTTCACAGAGAACTGTAGGCATTTTATTTATCAAATACAGCTCAAAAATATTGACAAGAAATATTTCTGTCTGTTTCCTATATGATTAATAATAATTGACTGCTGTCAGGTCAATTATGACTAATGGAGACCCTTTTCTCACAATATGAAGCAAGTCTGCATTGCACCTGAGAGGCTTCTACAAGGGGGTGCTGATAAGTATTGAGGCTTTCCCAGAAAAAAATTGAGCTAGGAAGCTGTAACTGCCACACTATTCTACATATTCCCCTAGGAAGTCAATGCACTTGCAGCATCTGCCCGGCAGCTTCTTAAGTCCCTGAAAATAAAATTCTTCCAACTGTTGGTGTAATCACTCATTTGCAGCATTAGTTGCCTCCAGAACACTCCCAAATCCTTGTCCCTTTAGGCATTTTTTCAGTTTGGGGAACAGACAATAGTCAGAAGGAGCCAGGTCGGGAGAATAGGGTGGATGGGGCATCCCTCGAAAGCCTAAGGAGGTCAGTTTTGCCATTGTTCCACCTGCAGTGTGTGACGAGGCGTTGTCATGCAACAGGACGACACCTTTGGAGAGCTTTCCTCAACGTTTTTCCTTGATGTTTTGCCTCAACTTCATCAATAAAGCACAGTAATATTCTGCATTCATGGATGAACCCCATTGGGAGTAGTCCACCAGCAGAACTCCCTTCTTATCCCAAAACACTTGACCTTCAGTACCTTTTCCTTTTCAAAATCCACCTTGAAGATCAGACATTTCTCGCTCCATTTGAGTTAAAAGCCCTTACTGCAACACCTTGAGCATTGCTTTCCTTGCATGGGAAATTAACACAATGGTCTGATAGTTATTGCACTCCTTGGCATCTCCTTTCTTGGAAATTGAAGTGTATATTGAAGATTTTCAGTCTGTGGGCCATTGTTTTGTTTACCATATCTGTTGGCATATTCTTGTTAGGTTTTTGACAGATTCAGTCTCTGTGGCTTGAACTTTTTCTATTGGTATACCATTAATCCCTGGTTGTTTATACCTTCCCATAGCTTTCAGAGTAGTATTTACTTTCTAGAATTCTTCCGACTGCTGGTGTAACCACTCATTTGCAGCATTAGTTACCTCCAGAACACTCCCAAATCGTTGTCCCTTTAGGTGTATTTTCAGTTTGGGGAACAGATGATAGTCAGAAGGAGCCAGGTCGGGAGAATAGGGTGGATGGGGCATCCCTCAAAAGCCTAAGGAGGTCAGTTTTGCCATTGTTCCACCTGCAGTGTGTGACGAGGCGTTGTCATGCAACAGGACGACACCTTTGGAGAGCTTTCCTCAACGTTTTTCCTTGATGTTTTGCCTCAACTTCATCAATAAAGCACAGTAATATTCTGCATTCATGGATGAACCCCATTGGGGGTAGTCCACCAGCAGAACTCCCTTCTTATCCCAAAACACTGTTGCCATCTGCTTCTGCACCAACCTTTGCACTCGGAACTTCTTTGGCCTGGGAGAACCACTGTGCCTCCCTTCCTTAGACTGTTCCTTTGTCTCAGGATCATAACAGGAGATCCATGTCTCATCACCAGTTACCAGTTTGTCCAGGAAATCTGACTCATTTCTTGCAAAATGTTCCAAAACAGCCACCGATGACTCCACATGTTTCCTCTTTTGTTCGGCTGTCAAAAGTTTTGGGATTCACTTTGCTGACAGCTTTCTCATTTCCAAGTCGTTGTGGATAATGGCACCAACTTTCTCACGGGATATTTCCAGATATATAGCAATACTTTTGGCTGATATTCAGCGGTCATCCATGATCATGTCATGGATGGATGGCTTTCACATTTGCAGGCACAGAGACAGAAACAGACCTTCCACTGGGTTTCTCACTTTCAACAACGAAATGGCCAGTTTTAAAATTGACAACCCAACGTTTAACTGTTGCATAGGAAGGGCCACTATCACCCATAGTTTGTGACATTTCATCATGGATCTGCTTCGCACCTTTCCCTTGGAGAAACAGGAACTTGGCTATGGTCCAATGCTCTTCCACACTGAACTTTTCTGGCGGTGCTGCCATGTTCAATTTGGAGCCGAAAATGAAAGATAAGTTAAAATCATGGGTAGTTGATTTTTGCCCCATTGAGTATAAAGTGGACCCTTGACTTACGGACAGCTCGACTTACAGACTTTTCGAGTTACAGACTTCTCTGGCCGCAAAATTTAGGTTCAATTTTAAAACACAATAGGTTAAATATTAGAAGATAAGTTAAACAACATGTGATTTAAAATACAATTGAAGAGATGGGTCTTTAGCTTTTTTCGGAAGGATAATAGGGAAGGGACCATCCTGATCTCCCGAGGGAGAGCGTTCCATAGCCTGGGAGCTACCACCGAGAAGGCCCTCCTTCGTTTCCCCATCAGCTGTGCTTGTGCTGGCAATGGGACCGAGAGGAGGGCCTCCTCTGCTGATCTTAATTGCCGATTACAGGCACATATAGGCGGGGGATAAATTAAATAAATAAATAAATAAATAAATACGTTTTGAATTGGGCTCGGAAACGGACTGGTAGCCAGTGCAGTTCTTCTAACAGGTGCGTTATAGGCTCCCAGCAGCTGGCCCCAGTCTGTAGTCTGGCTGCAAAGTTTTGCACCAGCTGAAGTTTCCGAACCATCTCCAAAGGCAGCCCCACGTCAGAGTTCATTGTCATCAATACACAGATAACATACAATTCTGTCTCTCCTTTTCATCATCAGCAATGGAAGCTGGGCAGACCCTGAAGCAGTACTTGACCTTGGTTAGGGACCGGATGAGGTCTAATAGACAGGCAGACATTAATTCCAAACAAGATGGAGGTCATGTTGTTGGGAGGGGGGTCTGCCTGAATCGGAGATATTCTGCCTGGGCGTGATGGGGTCACACTCCCCGAAAAGACAAGGTCCACAAATCGGGGGTGTTTCTGGACCTAGTACAGAGAAGCAAATATCTGCAAGCTTCAACAGGGACAAAACACAGACCATATCTCCCCGATCCTGGGTAGCCTGCATTGGCCAGGCTGCCTCCCTTCTGACCTTTAGGAAAGGAGAGGCCTTTGGTAAGATCCTTCTCTCTGGTATTTTGCAAACCCATGAGTTTTTAATTTGAATTCTGTCTGAGGTTGCCTCTGGAACACCCACCCACCCACCCCCCGGTCTCTTTTTACTAACTGGGTGTTTGTACTTGGTAGGTGGGTTATTATTTCCTTTACAGCTGTTAGCTGCCCATCTAGGGCTCTGCCACTAGAAGAGTGGGACTGAAATGCAATGAAACGAAACAAACCTTTCGGGAAGACCACCAAAGGAGTGCAGTAAAAGAGGCATACAGTACAATGAAAAACTAAATATTTAGCATCTGAGAGAGAAGTGATCCAACTCATTACAACCTGGACTCCTGCACTGAGCCGGGGGGGGGGGGTTTGGGGTTGGCCTGGAGGGCCTCAGGGGCCCCTTCCAACTCAATGCTTCTTTGATTCCCCAAGAGTCTGGAGGAGGGTCGACGCACTCCAGAATCCACCAGGTTCTGCTCCAGCAAGCCGTTGAGAGGGAAGTAGAAAGCAGCTGTTGGGTGCCGGAGTTGGTGCCCCAGAACAGCGGTCCCCAACCTTGGGCCTCCAAATGTTTTTGGACTACAAGTCCCAGAAGCCTTCACCACCACCTCTGCTGGCCAGGATTTCTGGGAGTTGAAGTCTAAGCACATCTGGAGGCCCAAGGTTGGGCACCACTGCCCTAGAACGAGGGGCAGCCAACGGCCGGCTGCTCCGAACTGTCATTTCCCCCCCCCCAGCGGCGCAGAAGGATCCGTGTGCGTGTGAACCCGCAAACGGCCACAAGGATGAATGGCCAAATTCAAAGGGATCTCTCAGCACAGGGAGCTTGGGGACTCAAAGGTCACTTTTCCCTCAACCCAACGGTTCGAAGATCTGAACCAACTGGAGAGCATCACAGAGAACGACGTGGCTTCAGAGCCGGATTCAAGGAGATCGCCTCCCCTCAAAGCCGGCGACCACCTCGCAGCAGAACCGCAAAAGAATTCACCTCAGCCCCAATAATAAAAGCCTCCTTCCAAGCCCAACCTCCCCTTCTCGCCCGGCACCGCAAGGCACGCTGGGAGTGGTAGTTCGCCCTCGTGATTGGGCGAGGCGCCCGGCACGACCCGCCCGTTTCTCCTCGGGGGGGAGGAGGAAGAGGAGGAGGGCGCGCCGACGTGGAAGCAGGAGCCCCGTGGGGAGAGGCTCCGGCCGCCCTCCCCCCCCCGGCCTCTGCCCCCGCGTTCGCCGGGCACTACAAGCCCCAGCGTGCCTTGCGGGGCGCCGGCCGCAGACGCATGGAGAACTCCAGCACCAGCAGCACCACCACCGGCAGCGGCACCAGCGGCGGCAGCCGCCGCCGCCCCCGGGGGGAGGGCGCTCCCTGCCTCCTCCCTACTCCCGGGAGAACCGAGCAGAGCGTGCCGGGCGCGAGAACCATGTGGGTGTTCGGCTACGGCTCCCTCATCTGGAAAGTGGATTTCCCTTACGAGGACAAGATGGTCGGCTACATCACGGGCTACAGCCGGAGGTTCTGGCAAGGCAGCACCGATCACCGCGGCGTGCCGGGCAAGGTGAGCCGCGGAAAGGCGAGATCGGGGGGGAGGGAAAAGGTGGGGCAGGTAGGTGGGCAGGTGCGCATCGCCGGGGCCAGAAAAGGGATGAGATCCCGCCAATCTCATCACTTTCTGGGAGAGAAAGGAAGGGATTCACCCCGGTGTGTGTGTGAAATCGGGATCTGTTTGGAGTAGTGTAGGAGGCGAAGGATGATGGGGGGGTGAAGAGAGGAGATTCCTGCCTGGCTTGCAAAAGTTGCACGGTCCAGGGTCTGTTGGGGGGCTCCTTAGCAGGTGTCCCCCGATGGATTCCCCCCCCCCGACTCTTGCGCGTGCACACAACCGCGTGTGCAGCGCTACAGGACAAGCAGAGGGGTGTCTCCTCTGTTTGTCTAGCATCTAAAGAGCCAAATCCCCCCCCCCGGGGATCCAGGCGTGTTTGCACCACCACCCCCCACCCGGGTGGGCCGACCGTCCTTCTCCCTTGCCCTCGTTCTCCTTGCCACCATTCCTTTCCTTGTCTGGACACACGCGGGTTTCACAGTAAACCACTGGCAAGGAATCAGTGCAAAAAGAAAGAAAAAAAATCTGCATGCAAGATGACCAACCATCTGTCTGGGTCGACCGGTTAAACCTCCTACACTGGCGAAACGGAACCTGCCATGGATTTAATATGAAGTGGGATCAGAGGGAAGGGAGATCGGTTCAGACGTTGAGAGAGACGCGTGCCCGCCGGTGCACACGCAAACAAGAAGCAAAGCGGGCTTAACGACCAAGCCGGATCTTGCCTTGCCTTAATATCAGGGCAGCCTGTTTTTTGATGGAATGATCATTATTGGATTTTTGCTGTTTAAAAGTTCCTAAGAAGACATCCAGAGTTGGGCAAGTTTCCCTAACCAACAGTTTTTAAAATGTGGGATGATTGAAGATGGACGGTTTTTTCCCCTGTTTAAGACAGGCACAAAGAGAGTGGAGTTACTCATCCCCAAAAATTGCTGTTATGCAAATCCTGTAAAGGCCTCCTCAGTCCCTTTTACAGCAACATCTTGCCTTTAACATAAATGGGAAGGGAGGAAGTGTCTTTTTTCCCCTGCCTTTTTCTTCATAATTTCTTACAATATATTTGCCTTTTTTGCTATCACAACACCTTCCATTGTATCCCAGGATATTTTCTGGATGGCAATTTTAGACTGACTATTCTAGTGGGCATCACTTTACTTTCACTGATCTTGGTCTTGTTACTGTGGTCCTCATTCACCGATCTAGGCTTTCATTTTTAGGGTGAGCCTGCCCAAGGCATAGTTCCCATTTCAGATATCTTTACATATTTGTCAACCCAATCCTACACACATTTACACATAAGCAAGTCACACTGAATAGAGTGGCATATTTTATGATAAATACAGTATATTTAAGATGAAAGTGTCAATCCCTATACACTCACATAGCTACAAAAAAGTCCAAATAAACTTAAATAGAATTTGTTTCTCAGTTCGGCATCAACAACTACACATGTTAAAGGGATACTGTGGAAATTTCTCTGAAATGCCCACTTGCTTGTAGATGCAAGATGTGCAAGTCACAACTTTTGTGACGATAAATACAGTATATTTAAGATGAAAGTGTCAATCCCTATACACTCACATAGCTACAAAAAAGTCCAAATAAACTTAAATAGAATTTGTTTCTCAGTTCGGCATCAACAACTACACATGTTAAAGGGATACTGTGGAAATTTCTCTGAAATGCCCACTTGCTTGTAGATGCAAGATGTGCAAGTCACAACTTTTGTGACGTAAGTCACAACTGTGGAAATTTCTCTGAAATGCCCACTTCCTTGTATATAGTGTGGGTATTGGGAGTTTGTATACATACTTGGAAAAAGCACACCGTAAGATGCAAGAGTGCAAGTCACAACTTTTGTGACATAAGTCACAGTGTTTAAATGCACACACACTATGTATCAGCAGTAGTGACCTAAGCAGGTATATGCCCTTGTGTGTGTGCTGGAATGGAGTTTGTTAGAGATCAAGTAAACAATACTGTATTGAGACGTTTGCCCCAAAGGTGATCTTTCAACCCTCGTTCTACCGCTTGCCCATTCTTCTGCCTGAACCAACAATACTTTTGCTTCCATTTCAGTTAAAGAGGCCTCAACCCACTGATTTGGGGAAATCTGCTGTGATAGACATTTTTGATTAACTGGGCATTACCCAAAGAGGCCAACACTTACTTAAATTAAACACCTGCCCAAGTATCAGTATTGCAACCCATTGTACTCTTATGCCAAGAAAATCTGCACGCTCCCTCCCGGGGCACAGAATATAAATATAAGCCTGTACTGCTGCAGAATCAGTTTCACTGAATAATCCCAACTTCTAACACTGAGATATATGTAATTTCCAGATACATTCTCTACACACCACACATAACTGTTTTACAAACTTCTAGCACATCCAGTTCTTCCTGATTTTATTTTCTAAATGCAGCTCAATCTCTCTGGCCTTTTCCTAGAGCAGGAGAGCCCACTTACTTTGGAGTAAACATCTGAGAACGTGCACATAGGCTTACAGTACAAGCTGACTTTTCCTGCATTTTCTCCATGATACCATACTTATTACAGATTTGTGATACTTGCTCTTCTACTTCCCAATAATTCCTTACATTACATTTGCCTTCTCTCACTACTACAGCACAGAGTGCTCTCAGCTATGTCTGAAATATCCTTTAAAAAAAAAAACACTAGTTAATGTGCCTTGGATTTATTGCCTGAATGTAAGTTACTTTAATAATGAATTATGTGCCATTAAGTCAATTCTGACTTATGGCAACCATTCCAAAGGTTTTCTAGGTATCAAATACTAATAAGTGGTTTACCAGTCACTCCTTTTGGTGGCATTTTAGGACTGTGTAGCTTGCTCAAAACCGGACAAGCTGTCCCTTCTGCCAGGAGGCACAATGAGGGTTAAATACCTAAACCTGGTTCTCCAGCCTGACATCCCACTCTAATTAGCTCTCCATCCAGTTTCCATTTCTTCGTTTTCACTTATATTGGTCTTATTTTCCACTGTTCTGCCCGTTCATGCATTTTTGTAGGGAAACTTGTGAATCGCTTTGCATAGGACGTTTGGGATTTGACCACTGTGAATAACAGTGCAACCCAGGCTAACTCACTTCTCATGATTTATGAGAAAAGCACTCATAACTTGTAACACCCATTGTTTTTTGCATTCTATGTACAAAGGAGGTAAATAATCATGAATGTTTACCGTTAAGTAAATACGCTCTAGCCATAACATCATTTGTACAATATCTACAAAAAAGGATCAAGCAACAGGCGCCCATTCTAACTAGTGTCTATATTATAGTCATAGTATGCTATTAAGAGTAATTTGTAACTCAAGCTTTAAGCCACAGAGCACTCATGGGGCTCCTTTCAAATTACTTTAATCTGATTCAAAATAAACCTTTAGGATTCTATGCAAGGATGTTATTGTATGGAAGAGAGAACTGGACCATAAAGAAAGCTGACCGGCGAAGAATTGATGCCTTTGAATTGTGGTGCTGGAGGAGGCTCTTGAGAATCCCCTGGACTGCAAGGAGAACAAACCTATCCGTTCTAAAGGAAATCAACCCTGAGTGATCACTGGAAGGACAGATCCTGAAGCTGAGGCTGCAATACTTTGGCTGTCTCATGAGAAGAGAAGATTCCTTGGAAAAGACCCTGATGTTGGGAAAGTGTGTAGGCAAGAGGAGAAGGGGACGACAGAGGACGAGCGGGTTGGACAGTGTCTGCGAAGCAACCAACATGAATTTGGCCCAACTCCAGGAGGCAGAGGAAGACAGGAGGGCCTGGCGTGCTCTGGTCCATGGGGTCACGAAGAGTCGGACACGACTAAACAACAACAACAAAATCCCTTTACAGCAGATCATTCCCTTATACCTAATTTTTTTTACCAGTTCAAGGGAGTTTTAAGGAGCTTTTGGGGAGTTCTGTTATGTCCCTCCTGTGCAAGGAATAGTCAGGAAGCTAAGAGTCCAAGGTTACAATCCTAAAGGGGTTTGCATAAAATTTGTGTAAATTGCTGTGGTTATTTGTAGCTAAGGGACAACACACTGAGGGTACATTTCAGTCAGATGTCTGGTCATGCGAATTACTAAACAATCTATATCTGCCTCAGCATCTCATTAATTAACCAGAATTAGCCATGGCAGCTACACAAACCTTAAATGAACACTGATAGGATTCTTGCCTAAATCTTTTTCAAGTTACAGCCATATTTTATGAATGTAGTTTAAATCAAGGACAAGAGGAGATGAGTTCACATCCTTCTAGAATATGGTTGAGTTAGTGCTTCTCCACAATTAGTGCATCAAGAATTTCACTGTGCCTGCAACAGGTTAAGAATAAACCTACAGATTAAGTTCTAAAGCCCTTATTTCAGAAAAACTACGTTTTTAAACTGCCTTAATGAAAATAACAGATTTTACAGTACTTTGAAACCTAACGCCTCTGTCACTATACAAGGACTATGTAGAGCTTATATAATCCTAAATAGCATTTGTTGCGTCAAGGAAACAATGGAGTTCAGAAACGTCCAGCAATCTAGGAGAATAGCATTGACAGGGCAGGGCTATGTTATTTACAGTTGCATATGCGGCAAATTATTCAGTCATCAGAAAAACTTAGCTGACTGTCAACATACATGAAGCAACACTTGGAAATAATTGGCATTCTTCTGTGAATGAAAAATATATAATACTATTATTCGTTAAAGCTTGCACCGTTCACAGCAAGAGTCATGTATGCTGAATTCACACCTCCAAACCAAAGTCTTTAAAACAGATTTCCAGAATTCATAGGGAGGCTTGTGCACATCACATTTCAACATGAAAGAGGAGTAGCCCTAAATCAACAGAAACTGTGTAAATTTTATAGATTTATGCATTTTTATTTCATTCTGGAATAGCAAGGAGACAACAAAAGATTAAATTTTGCAACCCAGCTCAAACGTGTA